CCCATGACTGACCTGGAAGAGCCTTCCAGCTCCCCAGCAGCGTAACCGCAGGTGGGGGCCGGTACTCGGTCACTCAGCCCCCCGGGCGCCGAGATCTGCCGCGCTCCGCAGAGCCCGTCCCGGCGCCTGCGCTGGACGCGCCCGCGGGAAGTCGGCCACCCCCCCGGCTTGGAAAGAAGGACTCCCGAATGAAAAAAAAAAGGTTTTGGTTTTGTGGTTTTTTTTTTTAATAAAAATAGTGAGATAAACTGCTAAGAAAAGGCACAAAAAAGCACGTTTTTTCGTTTTTACAGTGGTACAGCTACATTAAGCAAGGCAAGCACGGCCCGCTGTCTCATAGCGGTATCGCTGGGGGCTCTGCGAACACTCAAAGCGGATAAATTAGGGAAACTGGCGTTCGATTTTTAGCGAAGCCTCATGAAAGCAAAAGTGTGACTTTTTGTTATTTTAACAGCTTTTGATACTGCTCGTTCTGTTCTTAATTTGTTGTCTGTTATGGATGAAAATAGACCCAAAACTCTGATACCAATTTTGATTCTTAAACCCGCCCTTAAATCCCTATTTAGTGCTGCGTTATGGTTGTAAATACAGGATTCTCTTATCTTAATCCCAAACTGTGGCCAGTCCCAGTCAAACATTATTTTCAAATCTCTGTCCTCTATCAAGTAATAAAATTGGCTTCAGGTAGGGACTGAGCATTGATCAAACACAGAATAAAACCTGTGCCCCAATTTATTGCGAGTTATACTGTGCCCTCGGGAGCTAGAGATTATTTACAGGCATAACAAGAATATCCACAGGTTACAATAAAACAAACAAGACTTCTGGAAGGAATGGAAAATCTCATGTTTCGGGGCCCGCAGAGTTGTAGTTCTCCGGAAAGGGTCTGGGGTCTCCCTGGCACCGAGCCAGGAGCATCCCTGCCCCTTCCCGCGGGCACAGGCTGGCGGGTGCGATCCCAGGCGGATCTTCTGCGTCCCCCGGGGCTGAAAGCGCCGGGTAGGAGGAATGTCCTGCAGGGCTCCCGCGGGTGTTTCGTCCCACGCAGCTCTCCGAGATGGATCCCCCGTTGTCTCCCAGCACGGATCCGGCTCACCATGGGGGAGATGTGTGACTGCCCGTCCCCCGTTCCTTCCCACCGTCTGGGCAATGCTGGTGCTGCTCTTCACTACCACCTCCCGGAGCCCTCCAGAAGCAGGAGCAAGGAGAGGAGGGCTCTTGGGGCACCCCTGCACCAGGCTCCGCTTCCTCATCGCCGCGAGGTAGGAATGCATCTGTCTTTTATCCCATCTTTCTTCACCTCGGCAGCAGATACTTGAATTTACGTCCCCGCTCTGATAACCAAGTCATCTGGGTCCTGGAGCAACAAGGCGCTTTCATGTCATTAATTAGGACCCATTAAAGCCAAGGGAACTTGGGAACGTGCTCGAGCACTTGGCCAAATATGGCTCCTTTGCTGACTCAAGGTCTCAAATAGTCCCTTTGATATTAGTGGAAAAACTCAAGTAGGGTGAGCAGAAGCTCACTAGGGCTTTGAGCTAACTAAAGGCACGCTAGGGAGAGTTTCAGGAAAACACAGTTGTAGAAATGTATACGTCTACGTTCCCCCATCAGAGTGCAAATATTAAAAAGGTGACTGTACAGTTTGCTCTTAACCTACAACCATGACATAAATATTAGCAAAAGGTATCAACTTGCTGTGGATCATCTCAGCTCCGCTACGCTCCCAGATCCTCCACCCTCCCAACACCACGACAGGTTTGCCCGCAAAAAAAAGTTAAATGCCTAGACGTACCGCTCCCGTACCATGCGGTATTTCATAGTCAACGACTAGCAAGCCCTTGGGTATGAAGGAACGAAAGGCTTGCTTTACCTATCAACGCATAGAAATATTATATGATTCCACTAAAGGCAATGGTTAATCGTCGGGTGCCAGTTAGAGTGATTACATCTGCCATCTCTCAAAGAAGCTGGAATGCTGTCACTCACTTTGAAATGGCTTGCTGCATTCATCAGTCTAGATGGCACAGAGAAGTTATAACCGTACAAGCCATATGGAGGATTTAAGGAACAATTAAGTGCTTCCCGAGCAATGGGACTTGATGGGAAAATGTTTCCAGATGCATGTAATCCATACAGCATTTGACTAGCAGAACCGGGTACTTGTAGACATTGCCCGTTTAAGTCTTCAGCTTTAGCATTTTTCAGATTTGTTATGCCAAGGGAAGATAGTTTTGGCATATCCACCATGAAGTGGGGTACAAGATGCGGGTTGGTGCCTCCCAGTTTTTCGTGGCTTGGAAAGATGAGAGACTGTTGTCTTAAGAAGCTTGTAGGACAAATCTTGTAGCAGAGCGGCACGTTGAGGTTGTGTAGGTAGGTCTCGGGGCACGACACGCCGATGTTGCTCGCCGACAAGTGAAACGTAGGAGGTGAGCACGATGGAGAGAGCAGGGGGTTGAGAGGAGAGGGCGTCCCAGCGCTGGAGGTCACCGGCGAAGAACTGGAGCTCCCACCTGAAAAGGAGAACAGAAATCGTCCAAGCTGGGCTAGCTGGTGCTCACAGCCAAGGAACCCCTGGAGGACTCCTGCTCCCACTCCGCGTCTCCCTGCTGCCGGTGTCCGTCCAAGCACGAACCCGCTCCATCAGTCAGCGCCTGGAAAAGTGGGAAGATCTGCCCGTAAATTATTTATTGTTGTTACCTGACACTTGTCTAAGGAAAAACACCCACGCACGTCTAATCCCATTCATTTCACCGGGACAGCTCTGAGGGTCAGCGCCACACACATGGGTACGCGACCGATAGCCTTCTCCCGTCATACGCACGCCACTGCTCTTTTAGTTTCCCTATTTTCCGTGCAAATTACAGGCAGGTTTTCCCCCTTGTATAGAAGAATTAAAAAAAAAATGTATTTAGCCTGACGGAGAATTTTTTTGTACCTTCCTGCTCACAGGAATTGACTAATTTTGCTTGGCTTCCCATGCAATTTGAAACAGACCCTTGAATACTATAGGTGCCTGCAGAAACTTTAAATGCACGTGTCATTTTAACATTCTCCTTTCTGAAATGAATCAATGAACGCTTTCATAACGCGGTAGGAAAGCGACACCGGCTCGCTTCACGCGTGTGAGCGCTGCCGAGGCCACGGCTGTATAACGTCCCTGTTCAGCACCGGCTCGCCGCTTCTCCGAGGCAACATCCAGAGCAAAAACTAAGAGGCGGCGGCTGCTCTGGCGCGGGGATGGTGCTCTGGAGCGGCCGTCCCGGTGCTAAACAGATGCTGGTTTCCTCTAACGCCATTTAAGAGCCGTATGTCTCCGCCGCACATTCATTACCACGGTTTTCCAGAGGTTTCCCCCCCTCCCTTATTTTCATTTCTTACCAAAGTCACTGGAAAAGGAAGGAAGGGAATGTGAATCCGGTTTTGCTCTGCATTTTTATCTATTTACATTTAATTCCAATTAATATACTGCCTCGATGTGATCAGGACAGGCTTTACATACGATCGGCAACACAGAATCAAGCGTAGAACCAAGCCATGTCTGCAGCGTATCGAACCTAAAAAACCAAACAAAACCCACAAAGACTTCGGGCATGAATTTCGCAGACTCCCAACAACCAGAGGGTCTTACAGGTTGGGTAAGGCGCAGGCGGCACGTTTTACGCCGTGAACGTCGTACCCTTCCCCGCTGATGTCAGCGGCTGATTCCGTACTGACATCAGCAGGCGCGGGATCTGGTCCTCTCCCGCTGCACGCGTCCCGATGTCCCGCCGGGACTCGGGGACTTTTGGTCGCGTAAAATGATGCGGTTGAGCCGATATTTGTGAGCGCGCGGCAGCGAGCGGGCTGTAGCAGAGCGAACGAGCGTTAGTATTTGCTTCCAGGTATCCCACGCAATAACAGCACACAGCTTCCAGGACAAATTTGGGAATGGGGGTCACAGCGGAGCCGCTTGAAGAGCAGATTTGTTCTGCCATTTCTATTAGGCTGAAACATCCCAAGTTTACGGCCAATTCTTCCTTCACCATATCGTTCATGCTTTACTTTAATTTACCTGCTGGTTTGGGGGCTTCAGGATTTCTATTTTTTAGCTTTTCTTTTTTTTTTTTTTGCAGAAATACCATTTTATTATTAGTGGAATTAAGAGATTTTGTTATATTTACATCGGTCCAGGAAATAGACCCTGAAGAAAAATACCTATTACATGAAGACTAGCAAAAAAAAAAAAAAAAAGAAGAAGAAATAACCCCAGGAAGCCCTAATATTTTAGCATCTGTAAAATAATCATGGCAGTTGCTCTCATTCCCCATCACAGCCCATCCATCAGCTCCTGAGTACAGCGTCGCAGCCTGCAAAATGGGTTCAAAAGGGGCTTTTTGCATAAGGTCTTCTTTTCTAAATTAAAAAAAAAAAAATCGAGTTCACTTTACAACCCGGTAAACCTCTTTAATTTCTTCCGAATCTGATTTTTTTATGTCTCTGCATTTCTACCCCTGTACAGCACGGATTTTTGCTGTCATTTTTGCAGTATTTCCCTGCAGAGACAGGAACGCTTTGGTGTGCCTCAATACTTTGAAGAGCTCCTGACGTAAAGAAGAGTTAAACTGGCGACTTTAAACCCAAACTGGAGCGCTCCAGCCTGCAAATGCTCACTTCGGATTGTTTGGTTTTGTTTTGTTTTGTTTTTCCTTCGGTGCTATCAATAATCAGTTTTCAAATAACATTTCCAAAAACCGTTTCTCTGGAAAAGGGCTGTAAGAGACCAATGGGCGCTTGTCAGGCGGAGGGAAATGATTTTCCCTGAAAAACTTTTCCCTTTTCCCCGCATTTCTGCGGAGTTAACGGGCTGTGGGACTGCTACAACCTAAACAGCAGATAATTTTCTTTTCTGTTGAATAATGCGTTTGTTCGCACAGAAGCAGCCGGCTGCAGAAGACACCGGCGGTCATCATTATCACGTTTTTAGCTAATTTTCTCAAACGGGTTGGAAACAATTAGTGTAACAAGATCAAAGCCGTAACACCCGACTCTGAATTAGCCTCCTGCATAGTCGGATAGATATAGGTTGTTTTTTTTTTTTTCCTCTACGCCTCTAAATCTGATTTCTGGCAGGGGATGCAGGCAGACCGCGCCGTTGCCCTTCTCTTCCCGGGGCGGGTGCTCTGCCCCCCGAATTCGTTTTAACAGGAGGGTTTTGGGGTGGGTAGTTGTTGTTTGGTTTTTTTCCCCCCGAAAACACGTGGAATTGGCTTCTTCCCAAAACGTCCCGTTGGCCGCCGGTTCGTTTTCTGGACCCACTTTATTATCATAATGGCTTAAGACCCCCC